CCCAATGTCATCAAGACCAGTGCAGGATCTATAGCTCTGCGCTGAACTTGAGGACGTCGAGGGAAAACCACTGTCGGATGGAGGGGGTGCGCCGATTGTCAGGGGAATGGAGGAACAGGTAACTAAAGCTTAGACAAAAATGAGCTATTAACGCTTTCAAGGAGGATAACCTTTGATTTGCCCATAGTTTGCCCTTAAAAGCCTCCCCTTCTACCCTTCCTTCCCTCCTGGAATGCAAAAAAAACCCCAAATTTTATATAACCTTTCTAGTTACCCAAACCCGCAATCCCATGACTTTCAGATCCCAATCCTTAACTGCTCTTCTGTTCTTTTCCAGTTAGTTCCTTCTTCAGGTGCCCATATTACTGCTTCCATAATGTGGACCATTTTTATTGGCTGTCCACTAGGGTTCTTTCAGGATCCAGAAAAGGATTGACGATATCGCCAGGGGGTGGTAGGGGACCTAACAATAATAACCTGCACATCTGGATTGGTAGTCCCTGCAGCAAGAAACGGGGGTGGCAATGGACTACAATTGTGAGTACAGTATATCCAGCTTCACTAGGTATACGAAGAAAAGAAATCCCTTACATGACGGTTTAGAGAGGGGTGAGAGGGAAGGATGAAAACATTTCAGTGTTTGCCCGTAGCTGGGCTTTAAGGCTTTATTGAAATCTGTGCTTGCCCCCATTGTAAATTGCCTATCTGCAGCAACGTGAAATCAAACAGAAGCCAGCACTGGACTATGGAGTGTGTGTTTTGTTTTAGAAGAGAATGGTCAGAATGTGGATTACTCACACCTGTTTTTGCTCCTATAAAACTGGAGCATTTACAGCTGGATTACAGAGAGGGGGCACAGCCTTCCTCCCAGGGCTTTGTTTTTCATTATAGAATTGCATGAGCACGACACAAAATCCACCATTATAAAATTCTCTGGTTACCAGTAATCTGGTCTTTCAGGAACACCTAATTAGGAGTATGTGATTCTACAGGCCTGGGATTCCCAGCTCCACCTATCAGGCATTAGGATACTTACCTTTCCTATTACCTGCCCTATAGATCATAGGGCAGGAAGAAATCTCCAGTATATGGAACCCTCTCTTCCACTGAATATGAAGATCCAGACTGGTTGCACAGCTCAACCTGTACACCAGAAGGACGTCCCGTAATCAAAAGAAAGGATTTGTGTTTAGATCAGCAGTGCACAGGACAGGACATGGCTGAGCCAATTTGCCGACCAGTCCTAGACTGTTGCAAGGTGTCATTAAAGCCCAATTTCAGTTCTATGGTTCTGTAAATAGCAGCCCGCCATGTACTTCATCCTTTTCTATATAAAAAATGAAAAACAATGTTACCGCTCAAGGTGCAGCAAAGGAGAACCCTAGTTAGGTCCTCGAATCCTTTGTTGGTATATGGATGACCAAGAGTGTTAAACCACCTACAGCTGCCCAACAATAAGGATGCTGCCAACTGCCATTTGAGAGAGGGTCCTCTTCCACATTTTTCCCAGAAGTTGGGCTTCTTCAGCGTACCATCCCACCACTGGTCACGACAAGAAATATCACACTTGCTGTCTTACTATGCGCTATTAAAGGTTTACCTTTTCGATGCACAAGGTCTGCACACCTATTCTGTCCACCATTTCACTCTAGATCATCCATATATAAAAAGGAGGTTTTGAAGACCCTACTGAGCTTACCCTTTGCAGCACCTTGAGATGTTCTAAAGCCTCCTTTTTGTACATAGATGATCTTGAGTAAAACGAAAAACAGAACAAGTACACAGACCCAGAGCATTACAAAGATATAAACTTTTAATGTATAAAATCATATGGTGCACTCACAAAAATCTCTAGAAAATGGTGCATTCATGCCCAGAGGTGGGTGGGTGGGCTGAAGACACCTAACCTCTGGGAACGTGGAAGAGGACCCACTCGCACAGGGTAGATGTCAGTGTCCTTGTAGCTCAATGTGGATGATCTTTCACTCTATCATCCATATACAAAGCAGAGGTTTTGAGGACCTAACCAAGTTTACCCTTTGCAGCCCCTTGAATTATTACATTGGTTTTCATTGTTGGATGGAGAATGATGAAGTTTGTGGTTCAGAGTGGGCCTTCATCTTCTCTAACTACTTTAATTGGTTCCCCCCTCTCCCTTTATAACAATCAGATATTGAAACTGCCCCCCCAAATATCTTGTTGTATAGGACCTGCTGTTCCAGCTTTGCTCACCTTTTCCCAACTAGAACTAAAAAATTTGCAGTATAACAATTTTTTAAAGTACAGTCATCCCATTATGGGCCTGTGTTTAGAGGCTTTTGCTTGCTTCAAATGGGGTTTGCATTATCATACCAGTCTATAGGAAAGCAGAAGCCACTTGAAGCAGGTCACATTGAGGTCAACTGCAGGTAATTGCTCCCGTCAATGAATTCTGATCTCAGAGGTGTATCAAACAGATACCATCAACGCAAACCCTAACCCCATTGATGTAGAACCGTGCCTAAAGGAAAAAAAAAAAAAGAGAGAGAGACAGTCTTGCAACATGTCCAAGTCAAATGAGCAGCTCATCTTCAATCATTGAGCGCTTTGGTTCGTGTGTTTTCTCTCTCTCTGGTTCGCGTTTTCTCTCTCTCTCACTCTTTGGTTCGTGTGTTCTCTCTCTCTCTCTCTCTCTCTCTCTCAACTCCACCATCCCATGATGTGTTCCAGGTGTACAGAGCCTACACTGTGCTTCACCATCACCAGCAGATGTGTTCCTGATGCACGCAGCCTACTCTGTGCCCCACCATCACCAGCAGATGTGTTCCTGATGCACGCAGCCTACTCTGTGCTCCACCATCACCAGCAGATGTGTTCCAGGTGAATGGAGCCACCAATGTGCTCTACCATCACCAGCACATGTGTTCCAGGTGCATGGAGCCTACACGGTGCTCCACAATCACCAGCACATGTGTTCCAGGTGCATGGATCCTACACTGTGCTCCACCATCACCAGCAGATGTGTAACAGGGACATGAACCATATGCTGTGCTCTCTCAACAGCAGATTTGTTCCAGGTGTACAGAACCTACACTGTGCTCCACCATCACCAGCAGATTATTTCCTGATGTACAGAGCCTTCACTGTACTCCACCATCACCAGCAGATGTGTTCTAGGTGCACGGGGCCTACACTGTGCTCCACCATCAACAGCAGATGTGTTCCAGGATGAAAAATTATAGACCTATAGGTTTTTGCCATTGGCTCCTGCTGCTGTCAATCAAATTATGTGAGGAGAGCGTGGGGGCAGGGGCTAGTCACACTGTGTGTCAATGGAGGCACACAGCCTTGCTTGAGAAGCTTCCTATGGTGGCGCACACACAGAAGAGGAGGAGCCAAGAGCAGCTGAAAGGGACCCTAAAAGAGAACGTTCTGGGATGCTCTGTGCAATACCACTGCACAAAGTAGGTAAGTAGAACATTTTTATTATTTTAATAACAAAATACCATTAACAACCACTTCAAATGCATAGAAACGTAGAATAATCATCACCCAATCCACCATAATAGTTGGTCAGGGGGCATCAATCATTCTGAGGCCTGGCCACCCAGGCTGGGATCTGCCATACAATTGCTATTATTCATAAAACCACTGCTGGGGTTATCCCAATAGGTCTGACTGTAGACCAGGTGAGATAATAAAACATAGTTGACGCATACTGTATACATCATCAACCTCATTTCCATTATCACCTAAACCAGCGGTCACCAAACTGTGGCCCTTTGCTTGCCTCGATCCGGTCCTCGGAGTACTATTCCTCCCACTGACACAAACAAGGAGGCACCATTTCTTCCACTGGCACCAACTATGGGGCATATTTCCTTGCACTGACACCAATGATGGGGCACAATTCCTCCCACTGATATAAACAATTAGGTACTATTCCTTCAACCGATACCAATGATGGGACGCTATTCCTCCACTAATACCAATGATGGAACACTATTCCTCCCACTGATACCAATGATGGGGCACTATTCCTCCCACTGATACCAATGATGGGGCACTATTCCTCCCACTGATACCAATGATGGGGCACTATTCCTCCCACTGATACCAATGATGGGGCGCTATTCCTCCCACTGATACCAATGATGGAGCGCTATTCCTCCCACTGATACCAATGATGGGACACTATTCCTCCCACTGATACCAATGATGGGACACTATTCCTCCCACTGATACCAATGACGTGGCACTATTCCTCCCACTAATACCAATGACGGGGCACTATTCCTCCACTAATACCAATGATGGGGCACTATTCCTCCCACTGATACCAATGATGGGGCACTATTCCTCCCACTGATACCAATGATGGGGCACTATTCCTCCACTAATACCAATGATGGAACACTATTCCTTCCTCTGATCCCAATGATGGGGCACTATTCTTCCACTGACACCAATGATGGAGCACTATTCCTCCCACTGACACCAATGATGGGGCACAATTCCTCCCACTGATATAAACAATTAGGTACTATTCCTTCAACAAATACCAATGATGGGGCACTATTCCTTCCTCTGATCCCAATGATGGGACACTATTCCTCCCACTGATACCAATGATGAGGCACTATTCCTCCCACTGACACCAATGATGGGGCACTATTCCTCCCACTGATACCAATGATGGGGCACTATTCCTCCCACTGACACCAATGATGGGGCACTATTCCTCCACTGATACCAATGATGGGGCACTATTCCTCCACTGATGCCAATGATGGGGCACTATTCCTCCCACTGATACCAATCATGGGGCACTATTCCTTCCACTGACACCAATGATGGGGCACTATTCCTCCCACTGATACCAATGATGGGGCACTATTCCTCCCACTGATACCAATGATGGGACACTATTCCTTCCACTGATACCAATGATGGGACACTATTCCTCCCACTGACACCAATGATGGGGCACTATTCCTCCCACTGACACCAATGATGAGGCACTATTCCTCCCACTGACACCAATGATGAGGCACTATTCCTCCCACTGATACCAATGATGAGGCACTATTCCTCCCACTGATACCAATGATGGGGCAGTATTTCTCCCACTGATACCAATGATGGGGCAGTATTCCTCCCGCTGATACCGATGATGGGACACTATTCCTCCCCCACTGATACCAATGATGGGACACTATTCCTCCCACTGATACCAATGATGGGGCACTATACCTCCCACTGATACCAATGATGGGGCACTATTCCTCCACTGATACCAATGATGGGACACTATTCCTCCCACTGATACCAATGATGGGGCACTATTCTTCCCACTGATACCAATGATGGGGCACTATACCTCCCACTGATACCAATGATGGGGCACTATTCCTCCACTGATACCAATGATGGAGCACTATTCCTCCCACTGATACCAATGATGGGACACTATTCCTCCCACTGATACCAATGATGGGGCACTATTCCTCCCACTGATATCAATAATGGGGCACTATTCCTCCGACGAATACCAATGACTGGACACTATTCCTTCTTCCACGGACTACAAGCACTGTCATTTTCTTTTCTACTCCCACTGATGCTGGGGCATTTTCTAGTCCCACTGGGCCCTCCGGCCCTCCCAAAGTCTGAAGGACAGTAAACTGGCCCTTTGTTTAAAAAGTTTGGAGACCCCTGACCTAAACCATCCTCTTCACTCCTCTCAAGACCTCCTGCTCTCTAGCTCCCTGGTCACCTCCTCCCATGCATGCCTCTAGGACTTCTCCTGAGCCTCTCTTCATCTGGAACTCCCTAGCCCAATCTGTCCGGCTATCTCCTACTCTGTCCACCTTTAGGTGATCCCTGAAAACTCATCTCTTCAGAGAAGCCAATCCCAACTCCACCTAACAGCTGAACTTTTACTTTCTCCATCAAATACATTTTGTATCGCTTGCCTCTCGATTTTATATTGTAAGCTCTCATGAGCTAGCCCCTCCTGTATTGAATTGTATTGTACCTGTACTTTTGTTCTTCTTTTGTAAAGAGCAGGTTTGGTGCTAAATAGGTCCTGTATAATAAAAATAAAATTAATAATAATATTGGGCTATAAGCTCTGCCATTCTGCGTGTGATTTAACTCCACAATTAAACGCTTTTGATACATATTCATGTCAAACAACAGCTGTACTGGCTCTGGAACAGACTGATAATTTAAGCATTTGTGAACTAATTAATACATTAAGCCTTGGTGCTCAAAAATGAATTAATCTCCTCTTCTGTTTAATGCATTCATTCAGTAAAGATAATTAAGCGAAAACATGTATTGTAATCTGTGTACATTTAGGGAATATTCCAAATAAGGCCGGGTGTCAAGTGGTGGCGCTCCTTGATTTTTCCAGCCAAAGTGTATCTTGAGCCAAATGGCTTCACACCAGGCCCAGAAATGGACAAAAAAAAAAAATAGGCCCAGGTATTTTAAACTGAGCAGCCCTAAGCACTGGGGCCCTTCCCTTGGAGCCCAGTGGTGGAACACCAGGGTCAGGTCGCAAGTGCGACCTTTGCGATCCTGGTGGTTCCGCCAGTTTCAGTACCTTTTTTTTTTTAATTATTATTTTTTTTTTACCATTTTATTTATTTTTTTTTTAGGAGCCCTGTTGGGGGGGATTTGGTTAGATATCAGAAGTCTAAACAGAACCCTGACATCTCACCTTTGAAACAGAGAAAAGAGATTGAGGACACAACCCTCAATCTCCATCTGTGCAAACTCAACAGCACAGAATGAATGGACAGGAATAGCTCTGTACAGAGGCTTCCCATTCATTCATAATCTGATGTATAAACAAAAGCAAACAAGGGCGCACTCTCATCGTGCATTACCGTGGTACACCACGTATTTATTGAGAAAACATATAGATATATACTCACAAACCAAAGGAGAATAAAAGCAGAATAGGTAGTCCGCAATGACAGTCCAATACAATGCTGTGCCCTAATTAGGGATAATCTGACGCGTTTTGGGAGACGAACCCCCTTCTTCAGAGCTCAACTGAAGTAGAGTAAACACTGTTTACTATGCTTCAGTTATGAATGGACAAAGTGATCGGTATCGATCACTGACTGTCCGTTCAGACAAGGAAGGGGCCGGTAAATGGCATATTTACTGGCCCCTTCCTCACTCTCCATCCTGACAACATCCCCCGCAGCAGCTGGCGAGAGAGGGGAGGGGGAACCCAGCAGCACTGCGGGGGGGGCGGGAGAGAAAAACAGGGGGACCAAGAAAGAGGACAGGGGCAGCAGAAAGAAGATGGCTAGGAGGGGCGGCCTATAGAGGAACCAATCCATCCATTTCTCTCCAGCAGCCACTGAATGTCTGCAGGAGGCAGAGGAGGACAGGTGGACATAGTTACATAGTTAGTCTGGCTGAAAAAAGTCAACAGTCCATCCAGTTCAACCATAAAAAAAAAAAAAAAAAGTTATAATCCTATACCCACAGTTGATCCAGAGGAAGACATTCAGTGATGGCAGGAGGGAAATGGACAGATAGGTTCCTCTATATGTCTCCCGCACCGCCCCTCCTATCCAGGCAGCTCCAGCCCACCACGAAAATGCCCAATGTGCCCTATGGCCAGTCTGGGCCTGCTTCCCACACACACACACTCAGCAAAGGGTTTGTTTGCCTGTGTACCTGGAGGAACAGACCTAAAGAGGTTTAGAAGTTCTGATGCTGAGGCATATATTCCCATCAATGAATTCAGGAAAACATTGAAGAAATAAAGGAAATGGGCCGCAAACCAAAAATGTGTTCCAAGGTATAGGTTGCTTCACAACCAAGCCTTGACACAAAAGTGTTGATTTACTAAAACTGGAGCTGTGCATGGGAGCCAATCAGCTTCTAACGTCAGCTTGGTCAATAAAGCTTTGAGAATAAAACCTGGAAGCTGATTGGTTTCTATGCAGAGCTGCACCAGATATTGCACTCTCCAGTTTTAGTAAATCTCTGCTAAAGCGACCTTACATACAGCGAAAAGAAAAATATGGTACGGCAAATGGTATTTAAAGTCTAGCATTAAAAAAAATATGTTACTTAAAAACAAAATAAAGATCAGCAGAACCTAATTATAACTGCATCTGCACTACAGTTCTTTACCCCCTACAAAAAAAAAAAAAAAAAAAAAAACTGCTGGTCCTACTAGAGGAGTCCACTTAAAGCAGAACTACAGGCAATTTTTTTTCCATTTTAGATAGAGTAAGGGAGGGTTACTGACTATCCTTTGCTCTACGTTGTGTACTCTTTACCGATATAACCCGTCAGATTTTATTTTGCCATCTGTGTCCTATTTCAGAGATTTCCCTTCACTTCCTGTCCCATAGTCAAAACAGGAAGTGAGTAGAAATACCCGCAAATTAAAAAAATACCTTAGGACCCCCAAGGTCACCAAAAACTAGTGTAACCATTGGAAGATTTCCTCTCTATTACTTTTCTGGGGACAGCCCAAAATTTGGGATTTTCTTTTATTTTCACTTTCAATGATAATGGTAAACAGGACAAATAGAGAGGGGGAATCTCCTTAATTGGGACACAGGCAACAATAAAAACTGACAGGGGTTCTAATCCCTTTCCACTCCATCCAAGGCTAAAAAAAAAAAAAGTCATGCCTTTAGTTACACTTTAAAAGAGACTTTTGCTCTCCTGTGACCCAGGATCAGCCAACAGCAAGCTACAGCCCATTATCAGCTCCCACCACAGAGCCACTTCAGGCTCTAAAAAGGATCCCGACCATATTGTCGAGATTCCCCCCAGATGCCTGATTGCTGTTGGCTCAGCCTCTCAGCACACAGATAAGAGCTGAAGCCAGCTGCTCCCACCCCCTTCCCATCCTGAGCTCTGGAGGGGCAGAACAGAGAGTTGGTGACTGACAATCGCCTCTTTCAGCGGAATGAATACTGATCAATCAGCGGTCATGTGATCACTCTGTTCTTGGGCTCACAACTGGTGGGGACACCTGCAGCATCAGACTGATGCTGCAGCATGGAGGTAAGTATGCTTGTTTTTATACACCCACTTACATGTCCTTTAACCAGAGGATCCCCCCCCCCTTCCTGATCAGGCCATTTATTGCAATACGGCGCTGCGGTAATTTAGCCGACAATTGTGCGGTCATGCAACGCTGCACCCAAATTAAATTTACGTCCTTTGTTTCCCACAAATGGAGCTTTCTTTCAGTGGTATTTGATCGTTTTTTTGCGCTATAAACAAAAAAAGACCGACAATTTTGAAAAAAAACTATATATTTTTTTTTTTTGCTATTAAACATGTTCAGTAAAATAATAAAAAAAAATTTCATCATACATTTAGGCCAAAATGTATTCCGCTACATGTCTTTCTTAAAAAAAAAAAAAAAAAAAAAAAAATCCCAATACACATAAACGAATTGGTTTACGTGAACATTACAGCGCAGGGATGTTGGATTCCTATCGCCCGATGCCCAGGACATGTAGTTCCGGACGCTGGGCAGGTCGTTTTTTTCTTCCTTTATCCCTCCTGCGGGCAAGCAGCAGGGATCACCTGTAAGGTGAAGCAATCGGCGGCGCTGCTTTCACACAGTGCCAGACTCTCCGTGCCCCCGTGAGGGTGAGGTTTCACGGGCTCCACTTGCCCATCTGCGGGCCCGGCTTGCTGTCGGCTAGAGGGTAAGGAAAAGAGTGGACAAGTCCGCTCCCCTCCCCTTCTTGTGCGGACCCGGAAGTGACATTACGATGTTACTTTCAGGGTCCCCGTTGAGAGATTGTAATATACCGTATTTTTCGCTCCATAAGACGCACTTTTTTCCCCCAAAAAAAGGGGGGAAAATGTCAGTGCGTCTTATGGAGCGAATATAGAGCGGCCGGTCCGGTATTTCCACCGCCGCCATGTCAGAATACTGGGCCGGCCGCTCAGCTCTGCAGCGGGATCTTACCTGTTCCTCTATCCAGCGGCGTGCTGTCTTCCCGGCTTCTGTAGTGTGCGTGACAGCCGGGTCCCAAGTGCGCATGCGGAAGAAGCAGTGCTCTTTGTGAATGGTAAGGCGGTACCTGGGACACATGACAGATCCCAGAAGCCGCCGGACCAATCACAAAGCGCAGCGCTTCTCGCTTCAGCGCCCAGAAGCCGGGTAGACAGCGCGCGGCTGGATAGAGGAACAGGTAAGATCAAATAACAACTCCGCGGAAGTAAGAGCGGGTACCTGTCAAATTCAGGTACCCGCTCCCCACCTCCCCAA